CCACTTGCACTAACCCCCCCTCTCCTCTCTGTCTCCCGCCCCCAACCGCTCAGATTTCTGTTCTTTAATTTCCTCCATTAACATGCGCGCCACGTGGCTCTGCCGCCCGCCTGGCCAGCCTGCCGGGGGCCCGGTCCAGCTGCTCATGACCATACGTCTGTGTGTTTGTTCCCCCCCCTCGGTCTGTGTCTGATCACTGAGCAGGAGCGACGAGACCTCCATCTGAGCGGGCCCCCGGGGCCCAGCCGACAGGGCCCCTCTGCCCCGGGGGCCAGCCACCAGCCAATGGGGCCCCCGCTGTCCCCGCCCGGGGACCAGCTGCCAGCTGATGGGGCCCCTCCATCCTGGGGAGCAGCCGCCAGCTGCCAGGGTCCCTCTGCCCTGGGGCCAGCCGCCAACCGATGGGGCCCTCTGCCCCGGGAACCAGCCGACGGAGACCCTCCATCCTCGGGACCAGCCGCCAGCCAATGGGGACCCTCCATCCTGGGGAGCAGCCGCCAACTGATGGGGACCCTCTGCCCCGGGAACCAGCCGCCAACAGACGAGGCCCCTCTGCCCTGGGGACCAGCCGATGGGGCCTCTCCTTCCCGGAGACCAGATGACGGGGCCCCTACCTGGGGCACAAGCTGCACCGCCCCACGCTCCTGCCAGGTGCACCACTGGCCCGTCAATGAGTAGTTGAAAGGACCCAGGGCGCTTCCTCGACCTGCCAGGGTTTTTGTGCCCAATGCAGCCCCCTGCTGGCTGGTGCTGAGCAGGGCAGGGGCCGGAACCATGGATGTACTTGACTGGCTGCACTTTGGCTCCCGGTGAATGCGCTGAGCCCTATGCTGGCCACGCCACAGCTCCAGGCACATGGCTGACCGGATAGATGTCGCCGTGCAGAACCACTCGCGATGGGACTGGATGCCTGGGGTGCAGCACTGGCTCAAGTGCCACTGGGCCCCTTTGCTGGATGCCCCTATTCTGCCCCACCAACGAGGCCTGGCATGCCCCTCCTCCCCCCAAACAGCCCTGGGGTTGGTCATTGCGACGTGGGGCTGCCTGGCAGAGGGCCAAGTGCCCTAGCTACTGCTGGCCCAGACCCCAGGGATCTCACTGTGGCCCCCCCAGGCCTGACCAGGTGTGGGAACATGAGCGGGGGCTGGGTTGGCCCCACAGTGATCCGGCCCCAGGCCTGAACACGCTGCCATGGTGGTGCTGGGCCTGGAACGCCCCTGTCTCCAGAGTTGGCACGGTGCTGCATGGCATGCCCGTACCGTGCCCAGCAGTGTTGCTGTGCTGCATGACGCCCCGGGGATCGGGGCAGGGTGCAGGTGGCTGGGGGTGGCTTTGCAGAGCATCTGGAGCAGCTGGGTGAGGGAAGGGCCCCACAGACAGGGCCATGGTCTGCACCTGTGGCAAGCGACAGCAGCAGTCCCCAGCTTGGCAGGCTGGGCCAGGTGCCCATGGGGGGGGGGGGCAGGAAAGACACTCCTGGACTGCTATAGGGTCAAGCCCTTAAAGCTGGCTATGGTGGGGGGGTTGCCAGGCCCCCATTGGCAGTGCCAGGCCCTTAGCCAAGGCTGATGGGAGAGGTGAGACCCCTGCTGCTGCATCAGCCAGGCTGTGATTATTGTGGACAACCCCCCGCACCACACACAAAACAAAGGGGGAGGGCTAACAACCCCCCCCGATGCTGAGTGAATGAGGGGCTCCTGCGCCACCGGGCGAGGGCCTTGCCACACCTGCCTTTCTGCCTCAAAGCCTTCGTTTTCTACGCCCCCTGCCAGCGCTGGCCCAAGGGGCACCCACCAGGACTTTTGGAAAGTGCTTTTTGATACGTGTCCCCAGCCTGTCTCTGCTGCAGGTAGATGGGGAGGTGCTGGAAGAGGGGGGCGGACACATGACACCGCTGTTGACTCTGGTGTAATTGTTAATTTGATGGCGCTTGCTGGACGCTTTTTTATTTAAAGAACCAGCCTGACCCCAGCCCGTGTGCTGCAGTGTCATTCCGCAGCGGGGTTTGAGCCGGTGGAGGGCAAGGGATCTGGGGGCACCCAGTGTGGGATGCTTTTCTCTGAGGGCAGGCGCTCAGCCCCTCCCAGAGCTGCACAAAGGAGGCCCCCCCCAACCTGCTGGGTGCTCGCGGCGGTGCCCAGGCCAGCGAGGGGTCTGCGGGTTTGAACCCTTCCTGGGGTTTTATTTGTAAACTTGCAATTTGGTCCTGCTGCTGCTAAAATCCTCCCCGTACTGAGCCAGGTCCCGCATCCCCCAGCAGGCACTGAAGGGCTGAGCTGTTGAGGTCTCAGGAGGGGCATGGTCCCACCAATGGGGGTTATTGATGGGGGAGGGGTAAGAATCCCAGATCCCACTTCGGGGGCTTGACCAGCTCCATGGCTGGGCTGGGTGCAGCCAGGCAGGGCCCAACTGCTGGGCATAAGGGGGAGCTGTCCTGTGCCATGAGACCGGCCAGGCCCGAGGCATTACCCTTGTGTGCTGCCCCAAGGATGCCCCCCATCACTTGGGCCCACATGGGACCTCAGCTCTGCCTCCCACCAAGAACAAGTGGTGCAGGGGGACAGGGACAGGCCCAGCCCTTGGTCGGCTCCATGCTGGTTTTGTGGCCCCCTGGACCCAGCTATGCTGGGTCTGGGGTTTGTTTAGCTGTTGCATTGTGAAGAACAGCTGAGCCCCGACTTGTGGCCTCCTGCGTGAAGCCACGTGCTCTGGGGCCAACTGGGCAAAGCCGCGTGAGGAGCGACCCCCGGGCTCTGGCCCTAACCCCCCAAGCAGTGAGCACACACATGTGGCTGGCTGCTCGTTGCCCTCGGCTCATGGACACCTGCTGCGGGGAGGCGGGTAGCTGCGGATCAGGGATGCTCTGACCCAGCCTCAGACGGTGTAAATGGGCTCAGCTGCTGTGAGAGCCCCAGGGGCTTAGGCCTGGATGCGGCCCTGTTGCTCACATGTGACAGCCCCGTTAGCTCAGTGCTGGGGGGAGGGGGGGGGGAGGATCTGTAGAGCACGAGGCAGCACCCTGGCTCTGCTCCCAGCCCCTGGTCCACTGGCCTGGGGTCAGGCCCCTCTGGTTACCCCACCTTCACCACTGTGTCCCCAAAGCCCTGCATCAGCTGGACCTAGGCTTGCCTAGGCACCCTGCTGCCAGAGCCCCCTCCAACGAATGGGGCCCGCTGGGGGGATCCAGCGACAATTCTGCCGAGTGCACAGCCCAGGTGGGTTGTTTTACTGCAGGACTCGGCCTGTGTGTCAATTCAAATCCAGTCCTGGCTGAGAGGCTACTTTGGCCAATGCTGGAGCTTCTTCCCCCTGCTGGGTGCACCCCAGGAGGTCACAGCAGAGCCAAGGAAGGTCCCTGGGTTCTGGGCCAGGCTCCGCAGGGGGTTGAGTTTGGGGTAGGGTCATAGGCGCCAGGACTCCTGGGTTCTGCTCCCACCTGTGCTACAGGCTCACTGGGTGACCTCAGGAAAGTCCCTAGGACTGAGCCATAGCCGCCTGACTCCCATGGAAAGACCCCAGTGACCCTGCACAGGGCCCCCATGCCCAGCCCCCACTGGGCTGCCAGAAGAGGTGATGTCAGGGTGGGGGCAGGGAAGCCCCACACCCCGGCTGAGCTGGTGCAATGGAGCCGGAGCAGCAGCACCCCAAGGCTCGGGGGGGTGGGGGGGGTGTCCTAGCACCTGCTGGGGGGGCTGAGCTCATCTGGCTTGAACTTGCTCCTCTGCCCGGGCTGGAAGGCGACAATTACACAGGAGCTGCTCTGCTGGCGGGAGCACACGCGCTGGGTGACAAGGCACCAGCGCAGCCCCAGCAGCTCCCTACATGCATTAACGCCCTGGGCCCGACTCTCCCAGGTCTGCAGAGGGGGTTACTCTGCAAGGAAAGGGAGCCAGAGATCCAGCTCCCACAGCAGGCTGCCCGGGACGGGCCTCTCCACAGGGCTGGACGCTGCTTGCCAGGGCCCTGCTCAGTTCTCTCCCCAGCCCAGCCGCTGCCTTGCGTGAAAGCGACCAGCAGCCACCGGCTTTGTTTAAAAATAGAGTGTATTAAAGAGAGAGAGTCAGGTACGGAGCCGAGCCCTCCTGCAAGCGTTAGTGTTTCAATGCCCATAAACAGAGTAAAATAGCTCCTCTTTTAACAACGCTTGTGCCAGGTAGCTGGGGCCAGCTGCCCCGGGGGGCTCACTTCACAGCATTTCAGTGCCACACCAGCGCCACTGTTTGCAGACCCACCTGAAGCATGGGGGAGATTTTCCGAACAGCTGGGAACCTGCAGCCCCTCTGAAGATCGGGCCCCAGGTGGCTCCAGCTGGTTCCCACGAACATGGGAGCCAGATCAGCTGAGCCACTTTCGGCTCGGATACTACCTCCAGGGGCCTCTCCGAGGCTCAGGCCCCAGTTACAGAGCCTGGAATGAAGTGTTTCTAATTTCCAAAGAAATTTTCCAGTTTTTGTTGAGAAACCCAAAAACTAAGTATTTTGATTCTGAAATGCAGTCGTGGTGCCTCATGCACCCGTTGTCCTCTATTGCCTGGGCTCCCTGGCGAGGCTAAGACCATAAGAATGGCCCTACTGGGTCAGACCAAAGGTCCATCTAGCCCAGTATCCCGTCTTCCGACAGTGGCCAATGCCAGGTGCCCCAGAGGGAATGAACAGAACAGGGAATCATCAAGTGATCCATCCCGTCACCCATTTCCAGCATCTGGCAAACAGAGGCTAGGGCCACCATCCCTGCCCATCCAGGCTAATAGCCATTGATGGACCTATCCTCCATGAACTTACCTAGTTCTTTTTTGAACCCTGTTATCGTCTTGGCCTTCACAACATTGTCTGGCAAGGAGTTCCACAGGTTGACTGTGCGTTGTGTGAAGAAATGTTTCCTTTTGTTTGTTTTAAACCTGCTGCCTATTAATTTCATTGGGTGACCCCTAGTTCTTATTTTATGAGGAGTAAATAACACTTCCTCATTTACTTTTTCCACACCAGTCAGGATTTTATAGACCTCTATCATATCCTCCCTTCATCGTCTCTTTTCCAAGCTGAACAGTCCCGGTCTTTTTAATCTCTCAGATGGAAGCTGTTCCATGCCCCTACTCATTTTTGTTGCCCTTTTCTGTACCTTTTCCAACTGTAATATAGTTTTGAGACATTTCCCATCATGTCCCATCGTCTCTCCTCTTGGTGAGAGGAGGCCATGCATGATGGCAAATGCCAGGCCAGAACAAGTAATGGAGGCAGAATCCAATCAGGGAGCCTGGCACACAGAGATTGGGAGTGTGAGGCACCCAAACTACAATTCTCATGAGGCACTGCTTCCCCTTTCCATGGTGCACCATGGGAGATGTAGTCTGACCAGGGCGCTTAACTTTTAGAGAACAATGGGGCACAAGACACCTGAACTACAACTCCCACAAGGCACTGCGGCAGCATTTCAGAATCAAACTATTTTGGATTTTGATTTTCCAGGGAAGCCCCGTTTCCTGGCCCGCTCCATCTATAACCACTAAACACGTAGGGAGGCAGCCGCCATATGAGATCAGGCGAGGCCAGCATGGTCCACACGCACGGAACAAGCTCAGCATTTCCCACTAATCCATCTAAAAAGCAAAGTAAAACTAACCACGACCCTGCAAAGCGCCTTCACTCCAGAGGCTCAAAACTGGGGAGTTCAGGCTGCCAGCCTAGCAGGTGGCGGTCCTGAGTTCTCCTGTGTCCTCCAAGCTGGCACGTGCTGCTGACGGATGCCCGGGCACAGCAAGACAATACCCCGCAGGCAGGTGAAGGGTCAGTCTGGTTCTGCCAGCATGAGGAGGATCGGGGTCTTGGCGGTGTCTGGTCCCAAACCGTTTTATCGTAGTCCAGTGTCAGGGCAGGAAGCCGAGTGAGGCAGGCCAGATGGACTTGGGGGTGTCAGACATCCATCAATGGGCGCAGATGGCCAGGGGGGAGGAAGATTAAAGACCAAAGCCCATGTGCTGGGACGACATGGATCCAGGTTTTCTAGAGAGCTCAACACCCACCATGCAGAGCCTTTCTGCAAACCTGGCTCAACTGGGGGTGCTGGGCCCTTAGCGCTGGGGGATCCTGGGCCAAAGCCAAAGTGATTTCTCAGGGAGCAGCCCCAGGCCTGCGGGGAGGACAAATGGCTGTAGGTTAATGAACAAGACAGCCACTGACGGGCTGCAGAACACACAGGGCGAGACGGACAACTTCTGCCACAGGAATCTTGCAGCGAGGTGGCTGCAACCTAGGCCTGGCCACAGGCAAGGACTCTGCTCTCACTGACGGGCAGCTTTGCTCCTGAAGAGTCCATGCAGTTACATAGGAAGCCTGCAGGCGGCGCCAGCCCTGGGGCAAACCGCTCTCAGGGATTGCTCTGATCTGCAGCTCTGCTCCTGTACGGCTCACACCCCACACAGCGGGAGAGCTTTACCTCAGAGAGCTGGGCAAGGTCACCTTCCGGGGCGGCTGCAGCCTGCTGCCTGGAGGGGCTGCCCGCTGGGGGCCAGGGCCTGCTGGCAAAGGAAAAAGTCAGCAGGAAGCGCAGCCCAGCCCAGCTGGAACGTCTGAGCCTCTAGGGCACAAGGATACAGGATGCTGCTGAGATCTCTCTCCAGCACCAGATGGCCCGGGCCACTGGGGCTCCTGGCCAGCAGCTCGGGGGCCTGGGCTAGGCTGGGGAATCGGTTCTGGCAAACTGGCAGTAACCATCTCCAAGCAGTGACGCTGCCCAGGAGATCCAGCTCCAGGTGCCACCAAGTGGCACCCTATGGGCATCAGGGCATGAGCCGACCGCTTAGACCATTGTAACAATGCAGAGACACTTTCATGCTCCTGGGGGGAGGGGCAGCCCAGCTAGAGCTTGTGTGCCCACAAAGCTCCAGCCTGGGGCAGGATCCCAAGGGGCGGGGCGGGCCACCCCCCCGTTTACACTCTGCAAGCGGCTCCAGCTCCCAGCAGGACTAGGGGCCGTGGGGCTGCTCTGGGGGGCTGGGCGGGGCTGGCATGGGCACAGCCAGGCTGGCTCAGGGGTGGCGTCTATGGGGGAGGCACTAATTGCCCAGGGAAGGGCTGCCTTGGCCCCCTGCTAACGCAGAGTCTTGCCCCAGTCCTAGCCCAGCGCGAGCAGGACACGGGAGCTCCCCGCGGGTCTGCCCCAGCTCCCAATCCTGGGGCGAGTGACATGCTCTGCTTGCCCCCTCCAGGCTCTCACCTCTCTGTCCGGCTGCGCTCGGCAGCACCCTCCTGCCAGCTGAGCCATGGCCCATGGGCTGTGGTTGGCTGGGCCTCCCGGACACAGCAGCCCTGCTCAGGACGACACTGCGACTGGCTGGCTTGGGGATGCCGCTGGGCATCAGGCGGCGACTCGTGGGCACAGGGGCAGCCGTGCTCGTGGCCTGGGTCTGGTGGGCGTGTGCACTGTGGGTAGGCCCGGCGCTGGCTGGGAGCTGGGGAGCATCATCCCTGGAGGCCTTAGCCCGACCTGATGGGGCAGAAAGGAAAGCAGGAGCCATTAAGGCTGAATTCAGGCAGGTCCCAAGAGAGCCCCCCATGCCCCCCTTCCTTGGGTGGGGGGCACCCTTACTCCCACCCCCACTCACAGTCCCTTGGGGGCTCTGCCACCCCCTCAACCCCCAGTCACTGGAGGGCCCTGCTGCTACCCACTATAGGAGCTCCACCATTACCCCTCCCCACCCTGCTCGCAGTCCCTTGGGGCTGCCAATAGCCCCCCATCACCCAAGGCTCCACAGTTACTGCCCCTGCTCGCAGTCCCGGATGCCGACTGGCTTTTAAAGCCCGAGCCTGGCCCTGGACTCCCCCCACAGCCCCTGATCACTGAGTGCAGATCGCTGACCGAGGGGCCAGGGCTTGAACATGTTTGTCCTGATTCCGCGGCTGCGATCCCCATCTTCCCCTGCCCTCCCTCAGCTCCCACTCCAGGCAGCAGCCGATCTCGCCAGTGGCTGCAGGTGACAGTGACTGAGATCCAATTCTGCACCCCCTTTCCCCTCTGCAGCCACAGCACTTCGAGGCCTGGCACCCGACAGATCCTCACATCAGGCTGTCTCAGAGCCACGAAATGTGGCTGCCAACAACTGCTGGCACAAAGCACAGTGGCTAACTCAAGACCTGGGTGACATCCAGGGCTGACTCTTTGGGCTACTGGAGGGACCTGATTTGATGGCTGGTTCCTGGGAAGCGTGGGCTTGTCCCTGGCCCTGATGGCTCAGCAGAATGGGCTAGCAGCACTTCTCTGGAGCTGGTCCATGCTGGAGGCCAGCCCAGTCCCAGCCAGCCGATCCTGCTTGGCACATGACAATTATTTTCCAGGCATAAAAACCCATTTTGTTTTCTTCTCCCCACTGGAAGGAGGCCCCTTCCAGAGCAGGGCACTAGGGGGCGCTGGCTCCCTGCTGGATGAGAAGGGCGTGCAAGGGTGGGAGTGGATTCCCAGGGACCTCATGCGAGACACCCTGAGGCCGGCTCTGGCAGGGGCAGCAATAGGGACCTGCAAACACACGGCCATTCGGGGACACATCCTGCCTGCGACGTCTATACCCTGGGATCCCGAATCCTCCCCACAAAGGCAGAGGGGCAGTGCAGCCGATCTGCTACTGATGAACCTGGGAGGCATCGGCCTCTCCCCCTCTGCATGGGCCCACGCTGCCCCCAGTGCCCACTACGTGCTAGACGGTGCAGGGCCCGGTTCGGTGGCACACAGGGGTGCAGACCCCCCGATCCCATGCTTCTGCTGCACGGCATGCCCCGCACAGAGGGCAAAGCGAGCAGGATCAGCCCCCCACCCCCGTGCTCAGCAGTCTGCTCGGAAGCCTAGTTACCTGCACTTGCTTCCTGAAATGGTTGTGCTCTCCTGCAGGGCGGCGAGGGCTCCTGTGCAGGGCGGGGCCGGGCGGGGGACGACCTGGGGCCCATCGGTTCTCTCCTCCCCGCTGTGGGCGACGCACGGCTGTGGGGCGGGTCCTGGAGGCTCAGCTAATGCGGCAAGAGGGATAAAGCGAGGTGAAGCGGTGATCAGACACCTGCCTCTCCCTAGCGACCAGAACCCCAAAGCACACTGCAGTCTTCAAACTGACATAGCAATAACCTGGGGGGTCAGGCAGTCACCTCTGGGGGGCGGGACAAGGCTCCACAGCAGCAGCAGAGGATTGGGTGGGTGGGGGTGGTGGGGGGAGAGATACTGTCTCCAGCTGTAGCTCTGTGGGAGTTCAGGAGGCAGAACATGCTGGAGGTCACACTCCTGTTGCCAGGGCATCTTTAAGACCCACAAGTGGCCAGGGCCTTGGTTTTAGATTCCATCTGAACGACTGCCCCGGGTAGCAGCACAGGGCCCCCCTTAGAGCCGCACTGGGGCATAGGAGACAGCGACCCCCACTGGGCCCCCACCCCTCCCTGCAGCCCCTCGGTGCTCCTGAGAGGTCCCCCACCCCTGTGCTGACCTGGCCCAGCCCCACTCAACTTGGGAATCCCGACAGCCCAGCAGCGATGTGAGCTCAGGGACTGGGCACCCTTAAGTTACACGAGAGAGCCCACACCCGATGCCCCACACGGGTCCCTACACGTTAGCACCTGCTGCCTGCACACCCACAGGCTCGGTTCATTCAAAAACAGTTCCCCCAGAGGCACTGCCACAAGCCCAGCTCCTGCTCTGGCTGCCACATGAGATGCCCCAGTTCAGCTCACTGCCCTGGTTTTTCAGCCCCAGGGCCAGCAGGAGGCATCCCAACCTCCTGAGGACACCAAGAGGTGAATGTTTCATGCCAAGGGACTGGCTCCACTTTACAGGAGGGAAAACTGATAAATACTTTGCTCTTGGACAGCACTTTGCATGGCGGGAAAGTCATGACTTGCTATGGACAAACAGGAGGCCTCCGTCAGGGAAGGGCTGGGTCAAAGCCAGTTGTTTAGGCAGAATTTAAAGTTTTCGCTTGTTGAACTAGAGTTCCTTGATCGTATGCTTGGGAGGCCAAACCTCCCTCACTTGACCTGGGTGCAGCGCTGCCTGCCTGAGTCTGCAGACAGACTGGGCCGGTGCCGCTGGTGCTGCTCAAAGCTCTTTGCAGGTGCCTGCAGTTTGAAAGTAGACACTTGTGGTCAGTTTCATGGCTGCTACTGGGAACTGTGGGCAGTAGAGAAATTTACAAGCATTGGGTCCTGGCATGAGCGTTGTGCAGCGCCAGGAAGGCACCGGGACCCAGACACGGAGCAGCAGATCAGGAGGTTCGTGGTGGATGGGAGAGAACGCTCCTTCACCCTTCTGGCAGGAACAGGGGGGAGGGGGGTTGAGTTCCAGACTAACCCCTCACCTGCCAGAGCTGGCCATGAAGGACAGAGCCCCGCGCAGGCCCCCAGCACCTCCCCCTCTCAGCAGCCCATCTACCTTCTTGCTGCTCTGAGGTCTCTTTGTGGGCGACAGAGCAGGGCCCTTGCTGGGGGTGCATTTCTTACGGAGCCGTTCGCTGCCAGCGGAGCAGCTGCCCAGTTTGTGTCGGAGGCGGGGGGGAGTCAGCGCTGCTCTAGCACATGGCGAGGGGCTTTTCCCCATGGGAAGGGGCGTTCCTGGCTCCACGGTGGGCAGCAGCGCCCTGACAGGGCTGTTCTTCACCACGAAGGTCTCGCGCCGGGGGCTCCGGGGGCTTGCCCGCTCCTTGTGCAGGAGCCGCGCGGGCATAAGGGGCTCCCCGGTTGGACCCAGTGCCCCGGAGCTGGCGTTCTCCTTCTCCTGCAGGCTGCATCTCTCCAGCTGCACGGCCAGCCGGTTGGCCTCTTTCACGATCTCCTCCAGCTTCTCGGGACTCAGCGGGCTCCATCGGGCCAGGCACTCTCTGGCGCCCTCCCTCTGCTGCACGTTCAGGTCGAGCCTTTGTGCCACACCCCTGTCAACGTGCCGGAGCTCCTCCTCCTCGACACGCTCCTCCTCCTGGCTGTGGGGGCAAAGCCACGGTTACCAGAGCCCGGATGGAACGGAGACTACCCAGCTCCGCACGGCTCAGGCTACAGCCGGAGGCAGGGAAGTATTTCCTCTTTCCAGCTGCATCTTGGTTACTAACTGGAACCAGTCAGAACCTGGCTGACCCGCCTGGGTGGGACTTGCCCTGCCCTTCGTATGTGTCTGACCTGGCAGCTTTATGGCTTTGCAGCGGCTGATCAGATTTATCACTCAAGGGCCTGACCCTGCGCGCTCACCAGTAACTGTCTGCCCACGACTGGTCCCAGCAAAGGCAGGAGGTCTGCTTCCATGTTGGCAGGGTCAGACCCCAGGAGAGCAGCTGGCCCAGAGGGATGCTTGTGGCTGAATCCCACCATGTTTGTCAAGGATACGAGGGGCCAGGCATAGCTTTTTTGGCAAGTTAAGGCCGAAGCACCGCAAGCCCAGTTTTCTCACTCCTCCTGTGGCAGGTTCCCAGAGCCACAAGGCCCGACATCCTGCCAGCGTGGAGTGAGGCGGGAGGGACATGGACAGAGCTCTGCCCTTCTAGCAGGCTTTCTACTCAGCGCCATCGGCGTGATCAGAAACCTGGGAGGGCCCTTCAGTGCACAGAGACAGAAAATGTTAAGGGGAATGGATAGTAGTAATTACTGGTGTAATTCAGCTGTTGGCTTCACTGACAGATTGACTGACACCAGCCGAGGTTCTGGCCCTTCAATCTTACCTGTCTGAAGGAGAAGACAGACCAAAGTCAAACTTCTCATCGGTGATAAATTTTATATCTGGAGAGAAATATTGATCCATTGTTAATTGGTTGAAACTACAGCAAAGAGCTGAATTATCAGACACAGAGATGAACACAATATGTTGGGGGATGGAGGGGGGAAAAGAGTCAACGTGGCTTTTGTAAAGGGAAATCATGCCTCACCAATGTACTAAAATTCTTTGAGAGGGTCAAACAAACATGTGGACAAGGGGGATCCAGTGGATATAGGGTACTTGGATTTTCAGAAAGCCTTTGACAAGGTCCCTCACCAAAGGCTCTTACACAAAGTAAGCTGTCAGGGGATAAGAGGGAAGGTTCTCTCATGGATTGGTAACTGGTTAAAAGATAGGAAACAAAGGGTAGGAATAAATGGTCAGTTTTCAGAATGGAGAGAGGTAAATAGTGGTGTCCCCCAGGCAGGGGTCTGTACTGGGACCAGCCCTATTCAACATATTCATAAATGATCTGGAAAAAGGGGCAAACAGTGAGGTGGCAAAATTTGCAGATGATACAAAATTGCTAGTTTAAAGCTGACTGGGAAGAGTTACAAAGGGTTCTCACCAGTGTTCCCTCTAATTTTTCCCCACACATCACTGCCATATTGGTGCACATAACAAAATTCATGTGGCGGGGGTGGGGCCAAGGGGTTCAGAGTGTGGGAGGGGGCTCAGGGCTCGGGCAGAGGGTTGGGGTGCAGGGGGAGGAGGGCTCCAGCTGGGGATGAGGGTTCTGGGGTGGGACCAGGGATGAGGGGCTCAGGGCTGCGGTGCAGGGAGATGAGGGCTCTGGCTGGGGGGTGCGGGGTTTGGGGTGCAGGCTGTCCTGGGGCTACGGCAGGGAGAGAGGACTCCCACCCCACTCTCTCTCCCAGTGGCAGCACCTGGGCTGGGGGGGGAGAGGCGCCTCTTCCTGCCGCAGTAGCTCCAGGGCTGGGGCTGCGGGATAGGCGCCTCTCACCCCGCCGCTGCAGGTCCGGGCCGAGGTTGGGCTGGGGGGAGGGGCGCCTCTCACCCGGCTGCCGCAGGTCTGTGCCGGGCTGGGTTGGGGCATCTCTCCCTGCTGCAGCCTGAGCTGCGCTTAATAGGCTGCTACGGAGCTGCGCAGCTTAGAGCAGGGGTTCTCAAACTAGGAGTCGGGACCCCTCAGGGGGTCGTAAGGTTATTACCTGGGGGGTCGTGAGCTGTCAACCTCCACCCCAAACCCTGCTTTGCATCCACAATTTATAATGGTGTTAAATATATTAAAAAAGTGTTTTTAGTTTATTGGGGGGGGGGGGGGGGTTTGCACTCAGCGGCTTGCTGTGTGAAAGGGACCACCAGTACAAAAGTTTGAGAACCACTGGCTTAGAGGGAATTTAGGTTTTCACTAAACTGGATTGCTGGAAAACAAAATGGCAGATGAAATTCAATGTTGATAAATACAAAGTAATGCAGATTGGAAAACAGAATCCCAGCTATACATACAAAACGATGGGGCCTAAACTAGCTGTTAGCGCTCAAGAAAGATCTTGGAGTCATTGTGGATGACAGAGAGAGGGGCAGCCACCGCTCACCGGCCATCCAGCTCTGAAGACAGTGCAAAGCAAGGGTAGCAGTATTTCAACCCTCCTACAATAACCTTGTGACACCCCCGCCCCTTCCCTCCCACAACTCCTTTTTGGGTCAGGACCCCTACAATTACACCACCATGAACATTCAGATGTAAATAGCTGAAATTGTGACATTTATGATTTTTGAAATCCTATGACCATGAAATCTACCAAAATGAACTGTGAATTTGGTAGGGCAACAAAAAGAGTTTGGGGCATAGAACAACTTCCGTATGAGGAGAGGTTAATAAGACTGGGACTTTTCAGCTTGGAAAAGTGACGACTAAGGGGGGGATATGATTGAGGTCTATAAAATCATGACTGGTGTAGAGAAAGTAAATAAGGAAGTGTTATTTGTCCCTTCTTGTAACACAAGAACTAGGAGTCACCAAATGAAATGAATAGGCAGCAGGTTTAAAACAAACAAAAAGGAAGTTTTCTTCACACAACGCACAGTCAACCTGTGGAACTCCTTGCCAGGGGATGTTGTGAAGACCAAAATCATAAACTTGGTTCACAAAAGAGATGGACCTATTATCCAGGAACTGATCTATCAATGGCTATTAGCCAGAATGGGCAGGGACACAACCTCATACTCTGGTGTCCCTAAAACTTTGACTGCCCAAAGCTGGGACTGCACAACAGGGGACGGATCTCTCAATAAATACCTTGTGAAGTACCTGGCATTGGCCACTGTCAGAAGACAGGATACTGGGCTGGGTGACCCATGGGTCTGACCCAGTATAGCCATTCTTGTGTAATCAAGAGAACTTATCTGGCGTCCAATGACTTGGTATCAAAGTTCACATGGGGACACTAGCTAGGAGTAAGGCAAAGAGTTTCAGGGCCTGGGGCAGACTGAAGCAGCACCACTGACTTCAGTGGAATTACATCAATCTACGCCGCTGTGCACCTGGCCCCTGATTCTCAGAGGTGCTGAGCCCCCACAGCCATCGCGGAAGTCGCTGAGTGGCAGACCTCCACCTCCAGAGCTCCAGCCCTAGGTGACTTGTCAAGGTCCCACAAAGTCTGTGCAGAGCCAGGAACTGAATCCCGCTTTCACCAGGACCCTGATTCTGCTGCCACTTGCACTGGTGTAAATCAGGAGCAATGGCATCGAAGGCAATAGCATTCCACTGAGGAAAGACCAGGATCAAGCCCAGAATCATGACACCTGGGCTTGTAGAGCTGCACAATGATCCCAGGGCCAGTCGCCATTAGAGGACCCTCGCACACCTGGACGTTTTAATCAAAGCAGCCCATCAATCGGATTTCCCAGTAGTCCGTTCTCTCAGTTTGGTGCTGCTCATGTTTGTCCTGAGTCTCTCAGGCAGCCCCAAACCGCCCCTCGGTCAGGTTACTGGGCCCCGCCCCTTTCTGGGTACAAGGACAGCCGTGATGAGATTGCACAGACACGCTTGCAGCTGGAGAGAGTCGTGTTATGGGGCTAGCAGGGGGGAATCAAGCAAACGGGTCACCTCCAGATCTACCAACACGCTAAAAGCTCCTTCCAATGGAGCAGTCGCCTGGCGAAGTGCAGCAGGAATAAGTTACCTGAGTTTCTCTGTACAGCAACAAACCTAAAACCAGGCCAAACCCACTTTGTCAGTCACGTTCCAGCCCCTACCTTCTTCTGCCATCTCCATTTTTCCAGGGAGCATCAAGGTAGTCCAGGGACTATCTGAAAGAGAAACATGCAAAAGGGTGAATTAGATCTACCCCGCACTATGCAAACCGCAAGGGGCTGTGACGTTACACCCCATATTCTTCATAGAAATATGGTTATGGAGTGAATATGCAAGATGGGTCTTGTAAGGTCTCATTGGAAAGGTTCTGATTTCCTAAATGCGATTATCCAATTTGTGTGCCTGGATCATTTCTGAATCTAAAGTTGACTCTGAAGTTCTGAATCTACATATTGACTATGGAACAATTACAACTGGGTGTGTATTTGGGAGACACCCACCAGACAACAGGCCATCAGCCTTGATGGGCCATTAGGAAGAAACAATAAGACTTTGAAGATACTTATTTCTCTCCTTACTGAGGGCTTGTCTACACTGGCAAGTTTTGTGACCAAAAACTGCCTTTTGGCAACAACAACAACAACAACAACAAAAAGAGCATATACATGACAATGGGACAAAAAAATTCCATCCCTAGGAGAGAGAGAGAGCGCGCGCGCGCACACATGCGCCAGTGTAGACACTGCTGATTGTTTTGTGGACAGAACTGGCTTTCCCCCAGTATCCCACAATGCCTGCCCTGATCACTCTGCTCAGTGTTTAGATCTCTGCTGCCCTGCAGGCATGCGCCCTCCCCTTTCAAAGCTCCGGGAAGTATCTGTGTGCTGCTCCCTTTGGGGAACAAACAAAGAGCAAATCACTGGACTGCTCCTGTTCTGCCCGGCACTAGGAACACAGACTGCTGCTGCGGGGGCGGGACGGGGACATTCCTCAACAGGGAGAGCTCACAGTGCTACTCATGATGCGGCTCTCGGCAGCTGAGGGGGCTGTGGGAGAACTCACGCAGCGATCAGCTCTTCCTTCTCACAACACTGCACTGTGGGATACATGGCCATGGTGCATTGCTCACCCTGTCCACGATGGTGTCCCCAGTGTGGACATGATCTGCCGACAGAGGGAGCAGGTGTGAACACCCTTTGGCAAGTTTTGTTTTGTTGACTTTTGGGTGTCAACATAAGTTTTGTCAACAACATTTGGTAGCGTAGACAAGCCCTGAGAGGTGTCCCGGGATGTAGCTCTGACACTACTAGGTCAGGTGGTCCTGTCACCTGGTACCAACCACCACCTTGGACATCTAGTAATTTTCCACTAAAAGGAGGGGGAGGTCAAGCCTGGGAAACAAAAGATTCCCGCCTTATGTAAATCTTATTGAAGGCTGGGGAGTAAGGCAAACAGGACTCTCCCTTCACTGCCTTCCTACCTGAGAAGAAAGACTGCTGAAAGCACCTGAAGAGACAAAGGAACTAACCTGAGGAAAAGGCAAGGGCTGAGTCCAGACAAAGGGCTGGTCTACACTGGCAACCCACGATAGCGCTGTCACGTGGCTTGTGTGGTCGCAGCAGAGCACGGCAGGGCAGAGCTCTCCCAGTTTTTTCACACCCCGAGCGAGAAAGTTACAGAGCTGTAAAGTGCCAGTGTAGACAACCCTTAGACTATGTCTACACTGGCAATTGAGCAACAAAAGTTGTCATTCAGAGGTGCTAAATCCCCCCCTCCCCAAAAGACAAAAGTTTGTGCGATTTCTAACTGGGGGGTGGGGGTGAGGGGAGAAGAAGTTGTGCATCTCTCTCTTCACATTGAGGGAGAAGGCGAATTTTTATGAGCTCGCGCTGTGCAGATCTTTCTATACAGCACAAGACAATATGACCTTGGCTGTATTTTCCAGAGCGAAGCTGCACTTGAGTGCTGGGCAATTTCCTAGCTGAACCGTCTCATAGAGAGCGGGTGCTCCCTACCTGTGTGTGCTGCTAGAGAGCCTGATTCAGCAAAACAGGGAGAAGGAGCCCAGGCTCGTGGAGCAGGCGGGCTCAGTGAAATCCCAGTACCTCAGGTGGCATCCCATAATGGGGGTTTAACTCATCACAGGGGCATCTGTATTGCAACCACAGGCTGGTCATTTTGGATGAGCAGTAACAACTTTTAAGCCATTACACGTATCCACATAAAAACTCACAGCCCGTGGACAGAGATACAGCAAGATCCTGGGAGGTGCTGTGGTCAAATGAACAATCACTTCCATCGGAAACATTCCTCACCTGTCATTGTGGCAAGAGGACCCCTTACTAGGAAGCTTAAACATAACGATTGTCTCTGTTTTTTCCAGCCTGGGCATTTGCCAGCCCTGCATGTATATCATCGTTCCCCACACTTGCATCTGAAGAAGTGCTCCCAATACTTCTGTTAGTCTTAAAGGTGCCACAGGACCCTCTGTTGCTTTTTACAGATTCAGACTAACACGGCTACCCCTCTGATACTTCACACGACCAATGTATATGTGGGGGCAGGGGTTTAATCAGTTTCCCCTGCGGTTGTGGGTGCCGTCAAACAGCAACAGAGGAGAGAAAAATCACTTGAAAAACCATCTGGTTGTAAAGCCACAAAAATAAGCAGGGGCAACTCCCTCTCCCAGAAGAGATCAGCCCTTCCCAACAGCATCTGATTCCCACGTTTGCCGACAAGCCCCCCACACACTGGAAGCTGAGCTCTTTAGGTGCTAGTTCATCCTCAGCCCACTCCCACCTGCTCATTTGTTCCTGCTCACTCATGTCAGGCTGGCAGCACCGATTTCCTGTAAGTAAATCAGGCAGAGCGTCGGAGCATTGATTTAGAACACCCACAATGCTCCTGGCCTCGGCAAACAGACACAGGCTGGGCAAACTGGGACTTTTTCCCTCCGCTGACACTTAACACCTCGACAACCCTTCCTTTTATCTCGTCAGTATCTACCAGCCCCCAGCCTCTGAGCACCTTACAGTCACAACACATTGCCCCTTGTAACGCCCCCGGGAGGCAGGGCAGGGCTGGTAGCCCCATTGCACAGAGGCCCACAGAGACTAAAGGACTTGCCCCAGGTCCCGTAGGGAGTCTGTTGCAGGGCAGGGAATTGGATGCAGATGCCCCAAGTCCAGGGGAGCACCCTAACCACTGGGCAATCCTGCCTCTCGCTGCACAGGTTCACAGCCCTGGACAAACAGCGACTAACCCTTGCAGCCCATCAGGTCGGCTTGTGGGGGAGCGATTTTCCCAAGGCTAAACAGCGAGTCAGTGGCAGAGCTGGGAACTGAACCCAGAACACCCCACCCTGTGCTCAGACACCTATTGCCACAGGAGTAAACCTGGAAGCCAGAGATCATTAAGAAACATGGGGGGAGGTCCCCTAGTGAGGGGTAGGTACAGCTCACCCGTTCTCTCCAGGGTGCTGAACACTGCTTCTTCTCTACCAGCGTCTGAGTAGGACCCTGGTACATCTGCAGCCTCCCTCGCACCCTCTGGCTGCTGGATGGAAGAAGTGAAAGTGACTTGATCCTTGTCACTGTCCCCAGGCTCACAGGGCTCTGAGTAGCAGCCATGAAACTGACCAGAGACGTGTTCATTTTACACTCATGCTTGGGAAAGCTTTGAGCAGCTGCGGAGACACAGGAGAGGCTGCAGACTCAAGCCATTTCTGCACTACAAAGTGACTGACGCAAGTCTCATCAGCATACAGCTGCCGAAGCTTGTACATGGCTTGGACACACAGATACTTGGCTGCTTGCGTTGGCGCTGTATGCTCGCCAGGAGTGCTTGCGTCGATGCAAAGTGCAGTGGACTGTGGATATGTGCCATGCGCTGCTGTCTGGTGTGAGGCCTCTGGGGAATTATCACAATGTGTTGTGGGATAGAAATGACTCGCCATGGGATCATTGGGAGCTCAGGGTCAAGTTCCCAGCATGCAACTTTCTCTAGCCCCATATGCCATCCATAGCCCATACATTTTCACTCTTTTTAAACCCCACGCAGCACTTTTTGGTGTCTGCAATCTCTGACAGAAGCATGGAGCCCACCCAGCTCTGCACCATTCTCATGGACACTGCAAACACAGGATGCATGATACTTGTGTTTAACAGGCAACATGAGGATTTCTCTGAGGACAGTTTGCTGAGGTATATAATGAAAATCAATTCAAGGTTGTTGGTGGCATTCACGGAGCAGCTGCAGATAGTGGAGTGCCGCTTCTGGGCCTGAGAAGCAGGCACCAACTGATGGCATTGCATTGTAATGCATGCTTGCGACGATGAGCAGTGGCTGCAGAACTTTCAGATGCACCAGGCCCCATTCCTGGATCTATGCACTGCCAGATTGCTATGAGTCAGTAAGAAATCATTTGGGAGGTAGAAAATCCACAGTGGGGGTTGTTGTCAGACAAGTGTGCAGGGCCATTAATGGTCTCCTGCTATGCAGGACAGTGACTGCTGGCAACATTCAGGCCATGGTGGGAACTTCATTGCTGCAAATCCATCCAAACATCAGTGGGGTAATAGGTGGCCCACAGTATGTCAACAGAAAGGGCTACTTTCTATGGTCACGCGAGCTGGGTGGATCACCATGAACACTTCTGACAGCTCTGAGGGCTGGTCAGGGACGGTGCATGACGCTTGCATCTGTAAGAACACACGACTGTTCAGAAAGCTGCATGTAGGGACTTTCTTTCCGGACCAACGGATTACCACTGGTGGTACTGAAATGCCAATAGTGACTCTGGGGAACCCAGTCTACCCCCCTGCTTATATGAAGCTGCACACTAGCCACCTCAACAGCACCAAGGAAAGATTCAACTACCAGCTCAGCTGGTGCAGAAGGACTGGTAGGCGGAAGGGCTGCTGGCGGTTTACACTCACTACGGGAGATCTCAGTGACAAAAATTTCTCAGTGGTTCTAGCTGCCTGTTGGGTCCTGCATAATATCTGTGAGGCAAAGGGGGAAAGCTGCTGCCAGGGCTGTCTGCTGACTCTGAACAGTCAGACATAAGGACCATTGCAAGTGCCCAGCGTGGAGCTGAAAGAGCACTTTAACAGCCAGTCACGGTAGTGGTCTGTGCTCGGTGTGTGCTGGTGGAACGGTGTAGTGCTTGGAGCACCACAAGACAGTCTGCTGTGAACTAAAAGAATTTTATTCTCTAAAAATAGCAATTTGAGTGGCAAAAAACAATGTGCATCAAAAAATAGCAGGAAAGCAATACAAACGTTAAACAAAGTAACGGGATGGGACTCTGCAACTGGAAAGACGGCAAACATTTCTGTCCGCTTCAGTGCTCAGATGTAGTCCATTGTGGCTACATGTACACCAGCTGTGGTTCTCACAGGTCAGTGCATGTGGAGCTGTGGTTTTACTTGATGTCCCATGGCATGGCAGGGGCAGGACTGCAGCCTGGGATGCCATGGGATGTGTTGGGGATGTAGGGAACCGCTACCGTGGAGTGCTCAGAGGACTGCAAAGGGTGGCGAGTCGGAATTTTGGACCTGCAGGTCAACCAGGGTCAGCTGCATTTGGGTTTGCTGCCTGTGAAGACCCATTATGCCCCAGTGAACCTCCCTCTCCTGTCTCCTTTTTCCTTCTCCAGGCCAGCTGCCAGGTTTGCCCTCCAGGCCCTTTGGTCTCAGGACAATGCAGCACTGGCTTGCAGAATCTTGCACAATGTGTCCCCCCCAGTCCTCTTTCTGCTCATCAGAGTCATGGGATCTGTGGGTGTGGATGGGGCACTCCTCAAGGCTGCAATAGCAGCAGCTGCGGATAAAAAAAAAAATCACCGGATTTACAGTGACACCAGAAAGGGAAAGACAAGTTTCATAACTCCTGTCCCTCATTCTTATCAACACTTGGAGAGCCTTGGCACAGCCCCGCTCTCCAGCCCAGCCATAGGGAGTGTTGCCAAGCAGGGTGAGGGGGAAGGAATTGTAGTTCTGATTTCACGGGCGTGAGTTTCAGGCAATGGCGCTAACACTGGCACTATTTCCCACAAGTGCTGGTGGTTTTAGCTGATAACTCACTACTGAGGGTTGTTGGTGGTGCTGCAGGCTTGTTAGGGCTGCTAGTCCTGCAGTCCTTGGAGCGCCGGTGTGAACTGCACAAGCAGAGAATGCAACTCGCTGACTCAGCAGACCTCAATGTTATTCATAAAGAAAGACCACAGACTCGAGTCCGCAGCAAAGACGCTCGGGCAGGTTTATGGTCGACAAAGCACGATACTAATTCACCTGCATGCCACTAGCCTGTTTACTGCATGGTGCCAGCTGATTGCATTGGAGATTGGCGTGGGAAAGTGTCCTAATGCAGAGGGAGGCCGCCATCCCTAGAAACCTTTGGGAGAGCATTGTGGAGTCTCTCCGTGCAAGTTTCATCAAGGTCTCTCTGGAGGATATAGGGACAGTCCTATGCACATCAAGTGCTCTGCACAGTGCTGCCCTGGGGCCTGGTCACAAAGTTCTCTCTGCCATCAGAAGGGATAGAAGCTTAGAGGTTTCTTTAAAAAAGAAAAGTTAAATCCCATACAAATCAATGACCCCTTGGCACCTCTAACCCTCAGCTTACCAAGGCCAGATGTCTAGTCACCACCGCAGATTGGATTTTGCAAGCCCTACCTGAGCTCACTCCTCTAGCCCAGCCACAGCGGTTTGAGGTGCAGTCACACTCAAGCACCAGCTCCAGTAATTGAACGGCTTTCACGGGTAGGGCATGATGCCGAGTGGTTCAAAATACCAGCGACTCCCATCAACGTCCAAGGGAACTGAGGGATGGTGTTGAGCACTTCCTAGGATCAGACCTTTATAATCTCCCACCACTGACATCACATGGAGTTGACAGCCTCAGATGATGACCAGCAGTGCAAATGTCACCAAGGCTCTGACAATCAGTCTATTTGCTTTCTGTCTCATTCACCACAATCAATAAAGATCCTGCCTTGGGGACTTAGGCCCAGCTCCACAAATGTGTCAAGGTATTTAGGCACCTATCTCCCATTGATTTCTAACCATTAGCAAGCTCTGATCTCAAAGCAGAACTGTGTTAGAGCTACAGTTTGAAGACGGTGGGGTAAATTATGGTTTAGCCTACCCTGACATGGTACAGTGTTTGCACAATATGCTTTAAGACACAAATCTGAAGCAATTATAATTTACGGAGAGTTATTTCCCTTCTGGCTGAGAGCACTAGGGTATCTATTTCTCAAAAGCTTGTGTGCTGTGGGAACGGCATCTCTCCACACAATCATTCCCGTCCGTGCGTTTGAACAGAAAGACACTCCGATGTCCCCCATCATTTCAACGCTCAATATTTCCACCTAAGGAACCATGAAAAACAGCTATTCCCCTAGCAGGCTCTCTGTTCTTTCATGCCCCTTCTCCTTCTTGATACAAATCTCTCTCTTTGCAAGTCAGCTTAAGCCTTTGACAAGTGAGGGATTCCCTTTCTAAGAAGGGATAAAACATTTATTCCTCCCTCGGGCACGACGTGCCAGCTTCACTCACACATTAATCCCTGCTCCATCATTTGCTGCATCTTACTACATTGGATTTCCAGTGCTCCTCTGGGTTAGCCTGTTTCCAACAGCCTCCCAAGCAGCTCCTGGATAGCTGCTATTGGGCAGGAGGTGCAGATGCCCTCTGGACAGGCAGCATAAGACGCACCTGATTTGTGTGATTCAGAATGAGAAGCCTGGATTTTATGTTCAGAGTGGATAGTTGGGAAGTGACCCCATTTAGCATCTGCAAACAATCCTTCAAATAAGGGGAAAAAATAGGGCTTCTTGATTTTTTTTAATTGCCAAAAAAATATCACTGATCCAGTTAAAAATAGAGTTAAAAAAAAGAGTCTTCCTGTTTCTGCAGCTGACTCCATGTTTGACCCTGGGAAGGTCATGTCACTGCTTGGTGCCACAGTTTCCCCATGTGTAAAACAGGGATAATAATATGCAACTGTTGATGGGGTGTGATGAGGCTAACTTCATTAAAGGTTGTAGAGAAATCCTTGGCTAGAAGATGATATAGAATATTTAAAAAATAAACGATACAGAAAATTTGAAGCGTCAGTTATTGGTCATTGGGGGTAACATACAGAGTATAGGGGTATGTTGGTGTTTTGGGGTTGGGCAGCACACATAGTATATACAGACTGCAATGTCACCAATGAGGGGTGGGTAACCGGTGGGCGGGATCAGGAAACAGTCGATAAGCGGTGAGGGTCTATCACCCATACAGGAAGTAGAGACAGTCATGGGTATAAGTAAACGGGCTGGGTAATGGGGATGGGGGGACCCTCACGTGGTGGGATTCAGTTAGGTTTGGTGGGTTCAGGGCTCAGTGGATAGAGTCCAGCGGGGGGGGGTCTGTGGGTGCACGAGGTCTCCCCGGCTCACTCTCGGTATTGGCAGTGGCTGGTGATGTGCTCGATGTAGATGTCCCGGGACCAACGGTAGTAACAGTAACACCTAGCTCTTATCTAGCACTTTTCATCAGCAGATCACAAAGCACTTTACCAGGGTGATCAGTATCATTATCCCAATTTTACAGATGAGAAAACTGAGGCACGGAGATGGGAAGTGTCTTGCCCAAGGTCACCCAGCAGGGCAGTGGTTGAACTGGGAATAGACCCCAGGTCTCCTGAGTCCCAGCCCAGTGCTCTAGCCCCTAAAGTCAGAGTCCATATTTTGTCCAATCAAGTGCCATCTTCTCAGGAGATCAATGCCTGTACCTACTCAGCTTTTTGACTGCTACTTTATACAAACAGAAAGTTGGGAATCATTAACAAAGGGATAGATAAGACAGAAAATATCATATTGGCTCTATATAAATCCATGGTACACCCACATCTTGAATACTGCATGCAGATGGGGTCGCCCCCTCTCAGAAAAGATATATTGGAATTGGAAAAGGTTCAGAAAAGGGCAACAAAAAATATTAGGGGTATGGAACAGCCTCCATATGAGGAGAGATTAATAAGACTGGGATTTTTCAGCATGGAAAAAGAGACGACTAAGGGGGAATATGGTCGATGTCTATAAAATCATGATTGGTGTGGAGAAAGTAAATAAGGAAGTGTTGTTTACTCCTCATAACACAAGAACTAGGGGTCACCAAATGAAATGAAGCAGCATCAGGTTTAAAACAAACAAAAGGAAGTATTTCTTCACACAACACACAGTCAACCTGTGGAACTCCTTGCCAGAGGATGTTGTGAAGGCCAAGACTATAACAGGGTTCAAAAAAGAACTAGATAAATTCATGGAGGATAGGTTCATCAATGTTTATTAGCCAGGATGGGCAGGAATGTTGTCCCTAGCCTCTCTTTGCCAGAAGCTGGGAATGGGCAACAGGAGATGGATCACTTGATGATTCCCTGTCCTGTTCATTCCTCTGAAGCACGTGGCATTGGCCACTGTCGGAAGACAGGCTACTGGGCTAGATGAACCTTTGGTCTGACCCAGTCTGGCCGTTCTTATGTAGAGTTGCAATCTACATTGACACTGAGTGCGTCCTGTGGAGGCTACAAGGCTACAAGTTGGTCCAAGAGGTGACTATATAGCAACCATAACGTACTTAAATTTAACATCCTTGCAGTGGGAAATGTGCTAAAGAAACCCAGAGTAGCATTTGACTTCAAAAAGAGGAACTACACAAAAATAAAGAAGCTAGTTAAACAGAAATTAAAAGGAACAGGCACTAGGGTGAAATGCCTGCAAGCAGCATGGAGACTATTTAAAAACACCTTAATGGAGGCTCAAACTAAATGTATACGACAAGCAAACAAACAAACCAGTAAGAGGACCAAAAAAATGTCACCATGGCTAAACAGGAAAGTAAAATAGGTGGTTAGGGACAAAAAGGCATCCTTTAAAAATTGGAAGTCAAATCCTACTGAGGAAAATAGAAAGGAGTATAAATTGTGTCAAGTGTAAAAGTATACTTAGGCAGGCCAAAAAAGAATTTGAAGATCAACTAGCAAAAGACTCAAAAACTAACAGTAATTCTTTTTTTAAAGTACATCAAAGCAGGGAGCCTGCCAACAATGAGTGGGGCCACTGAACACTCAAGGTGCTAAAGGAGCAGTCAAGGAAGACAAGGCCATTGCAGAGAAGCAAAATGAATTTTTTGCATCCGTTGTCACAGCTGAGGATGAGAGGGAGATTCCACACCCGAGCCATCCTTTTTAGGTGACAAATGTCAGGAATTGTCCCAGACTGAAGCGACAATAGAGGGGGGCGTGGAACAAATTGATAAATTAAATAGACTCACAGCCTTACTTATTACTGTCATGGAGCCAGAGGTCACGGATTCTGTGACTTTCAGGGACCTCTGTGACTTGTGCAGTGGCCGGTGCGACTGACCCCAGGACTGCCAGAGGGGCTTGGGCAGTCTCAGGGCCAGCCACTCTGGCCGCTGCTAGGGCAGTCTTGGCCCCCCCCCCTGCCTGCCCAATAGCAGCAGTAGTCTTGGGGCCGCCCTGCTCCCACCCGCCCCACAAGCACCAGCAGCGGTCCTGGGACCGACCCCTCCTGCGGCGGGGGCAGCCCGGGACCACCACCCTCCATCCCCTGGCGCCCGCAGTGGTCCCCGAGGCATCACCCCCCCACCATGGAGCACCCACGGCCTCCTCCTGCCCCAGAGCACCCGTGGCGGTCCCCGAGGCACCACCCTGCCCACGAGCACCCAAGATTTAGTCAAGGGTATATAGTACAAGTCACGGACAGGTCACAAGCCATGAATTTTTGTTTACTGCCCATGACTTCTACTAAAAATACCCATGACTAAAATGTAGCCTTAGTAATGTCAGTCACCAGGATCAGATGGGATTCACCCAAGAGTTCTGAAGGGACTCAGATATGAAACTGCAGACTTACTAACTGTGGTACATTTCTGATCGCTTAAATTAGCCTCTCTATCAGATGACTGGAGGACAGCTAAGGTGATCCTGGCAATTACAGGCCGATAAGCCTAACTCCAGTACCAGGAAAATTGCTTGAAACCATAGTAAAGAACAGACTTGTGAGACCTATAGATGAACAAGATTTGTTGGGGGAAGAAACAGCATGGCTTTTGTAGAGGGAAATCATGCCTCACCAATCTATTAGGATACTTTTGGGGGCATCAACAAGCATGTATGTGGACAAGGGTGATCCAGAGGCTATAGTGTACTTAGACTTTCTGAAAGCCTTTGACAAGGTCCCTCACCACAGGCTCTTAAGCAAATTGAGCAGTCATTGGATAAGAGGGAAGGTCCTCCCATGGATCAGTAGTAATTTGTTAAAAGATAGGAAACACAAGGTAGGAAACAAAAGGATCTCACAAAAGTTCTTGCCTCCGACAAGCATTCCTCCATCCACCTAGCTGTATCTACACCCGGGGTTAGGTCACCGTAAGTATGATGCTCAGGAGCATGGATTTTTCACACCCTTGAGCACTGTAGCTATGTCGACCTAAGTGTTTACCATTAGCCAGGTCTAGGACACAGCTAAGCTGGGCCTAGGGGTCGCTGCTGTCTGCAAAGGGATTACGCTCTCACAGGAGCAACTGTGCAACCCCATTGTCTGCTAATACTACTCTCTGTCATGCCCCACTGCTTCTAAAGCATCTGCACAGAGGACAATTGGTAGCAGGGTGACTGAAAAGCAGGATTAAGGTCCAACTATGGCACTCTGTACCTCAAAACAGCACCCTGGAACCCCATATTCACCACTGTCATATAACTGATATATTTCATACAAAGTACATCAAGTAGGATATCGTATGAAAGGTCATGATCTGCTGAAACCCATTGTTCTATCAAAATACATATATTGTTTTGCGTATCAAGTTCTGAGATTTTGCTAGATGGTTGTTACTGAAACATGCTGTAAGTTTGCTAGTGGTATACAAAGGAGGTGATCCCCCACCAGAGGAAGGTTTTCAACAACCATTAATCAGCAGGGGAATTGTAACCAGGGGATTTACAATTCAGTGACAGTTGCACAAGACCACACCAGGGGGACTGCTTAACCCTGTAACTCAGCAAAGCCCACCAGGACATATCTGGGCTAGTAGTATTTTCCAGGCACATGGACTGGCCTTTCTCCTCCCCCACCTACGCTGGAAGCAACAAGAACACTGAGAAGACAAAGACTTCATCTGAGGAGACTGGCGCAAGCTTAAGGGAGCGGCCTGTGTATTAAGAACTGTAACATCCAGTGGGGTGAGAAAACTGCTTGATATAAATGCTGCCTAGTGCAATAAGGGTTAAGATTTAGATCGTGCACTTATCTTTTATTTCCTTAAGGTAACTATCTCTGACCTTTTATGCCTCCCACTTATAATCACTTACAATCGATCTTTCTATAGTTAATAAATCTGTTTTATATTTTACCAAAAACTGTGTGTTTTGATTGAAATGCTTGGGAAATCTCAGCTCAGGTTACAAAGGCTGGTGCATGTCCTCACCACATTGAGGGTGGGGCAGACTGGGTAATAAACTTACACTAGCCAGGGTTGTGACCAGGGCAAGACAGTACAGCTCTGGGATGTTAGGCTGGGGAGCAGGGGGAATTGGCTGATGCCTTTTTTTTTGTGTGATTTGAGAGTGGCTCAGGGAGCTTTCATGCAATCTGTCTGGGTGTGGGGCTCTATGTGCTGTTGTACTGAGTGATCACAGCGCCTGGAGGGGTTTGCTGATTGTCACTGAATTGCAGACACTGCAGGGGGGGTTGGACTAGATGACCTCCTGAGGTCCCTTCCAACCCTGATATTCTATGACTAGCAAAGCATTGAGAGAGACAGCCCAGGCTCTGCCATCTCTGCCCATCTCCAACAAGTTCCAGCGTCCAAAGCGAGGAGTGAGCTACTGCTGAACCTAGGGCAGGGGTTCTCAAACTGGGGGTCAGGACCCCTCAGGAGGTCACAAGGTCACATGGGGGGGTCACAAGCGGTCAGTCTCCACCCCAAACCCCACTTGGCCTCCAGCATTAATAATGGTGTTAAATATATAAAAAAGTGTTTTTAATGTGGGGGGGGGGTCATCACACTCAGCAGCTTGCTGTGTGAAAGGGGTCACCAGTACAAAAGTCTGAGCACCCCTGGCCTAGGGGCCTGACCTCCCACTGATGCAACATGGCCCCCACGTAACAGAATAAACCAAACACAAGTTAACTGAGTAACAACAGCCCCTCCCTCGTGAGAGCCGGCTCCGCTCTTCTGCAGGCATCACCCTGCAAAGTTAAAGGGCCCACAAGGAGGCCAAGGCCCTTGGCTGGGTTTTAACTTGGACCCCTGGTGAATCTCATAGAATAGAATCATAGTCTCGCCCACTACTGGTGGATGTTGAGAGTGACGCCAGTCCGTGCCCCTAATCCCCACTCCAGCCCTCCCGCACCCCAGTCCCCCCCAACCCCACCTCGCCCCTGTCCCCCCCAGCACCACCCAATCCCCCCAACCCTCCCTACCACCCAACTCCCCTGCTCCCCCTCCAGCCCCACCCTGCGTCCCTGAGGCTCCGCGGAAGGCGGCGCTGCCCCCATCGCTCACCCACTCCGTCCGGCCCCGGCGTGCCCCTTCTCCTCTTCGCACAGAGTCGCGGCATGGAAGGGGCGTGGCTGAATTCGAATTCTCCCTCCTGGACGTCACAATAACCAAGTTACCGCCCAGCGCGCTGATAGGTAGCTTCCGCCCCCGGCCTGTGTCAGACCCGAGCGTTCATTGGCCGCTCAGCCCCCAGCAGGTCCCGCCCCCGGCGTTCCCTCCCGCGTCCAAGAGAGGAGGGAGGGGATTGGCTGTGACACCTGAAGTGCGCACACGCTGCTGTTTCCCCGGGCGGAGTGTTTCCGGCGTGGGAGCAGCATGGCCGCGGTGCCCCCCGACTCCTGGCAGCCGCCCGCCGTCTCCATGGAGACCACGTAAGGGGCCACTGGGAGCCTCCATCCTCCCTGTCCGGGGGGCCGCCTGGGTCGCTTTGCTCGGACCAGCGGATGGGTCTCGCGCCCCGGGGCGGTTTGCAGGCTGGCAGCGGGAGGGGCACGTCCGGGGGTCACAGCACGGCCTGCCCCAGGTAGCGGCTCTGGCCTGGGCAGCGGCGGGGTGTCCCGCGTGGGGAGCCCCCCCATACTCCCGAGAGCCCGGCGGCTGGCTCGTGTCCGCCCGGGGCGGAAGTGACCTGCCGGGTCAGGGCGCGGGGCGAGCCCCCGAGAGCCCGGACTCTGAACCAGCACGATACTGGCCCCTCGCACCGCAGACCCCGCAGGGTCTGTTTGTCTGTCTGTAGGTCTGATCGCCGCAGCCCCCCTCCCAGGCGCTGGGGAGCCCTGAGCCCTTTCGGTCTGTCTTCCTCCTGTAGCATGGGCACCATTCTTCTGGAGCTGTACTGGAAACACGCGCCCAAGACCTGTAAGAACTTCGCTGAATTAGCCAGACGGGGTTATTACAATGGCACGAAGTTCCACAGGATCATTAAAGACTTCATGATCCAAGGGGGAGATCCGACGGGAACAGGTAAGGCCCAAAACGAAAATAGGTGCGCTGGGTACACAACTGGCAGCCTTGTCCGCTCTTCGTGGGTGCAGGGGGTGAGTGTGTCCGTGGGAGTTAAACCTCCCTGTTAGGACATGAGCAGACCTTAAGGAAGCTTATGTGCGGTGACATTTCCTGCTCCAGTGTATGCCCTCGCCGGCATCCCAATGGCTGTCCATTCCAGGGAGGGCAGAGGACTGAAGGAGGTGGAAAGTAAAGCAGAAGGATGGCCCAGTGTTTAGGACACTAATATGGGACTGGGGAAACGCAGGTTCAATTCCCTGCGCCCATAAAGATTTCTTGTATGACCTCGACCAAGCCAAGTAGGGTACGTCTAGACTGCCTGTAGAGTACAGATACAGCACGTCTAGCTAGCCTGGGTATAAACAGCAGTGTAGATGGTGAGGCAGAGCTTAGAGTGTTTTACATGCCTGAACCCCTAGGGCATAAACCCTCCATGCTGTCTAAACACCCAAGCAGTGCTTCCTACCTTGACACTGGTATTTCCTGCTGCCGCGTCCCGCTGCCAGAGTCTTTCCCCATTGCAGTGAAAGATTCCAGCAGTGGAGAAAAGGCTCTGTTGGGGGGGAGGCAGTGTGGAAAAGGGGAGCCTTTCAGTGTGGTATGCAACTATATGTGTAATGCCTATGCTCTACACGCTGCCATTAGCGTAGATGTAGCCTTAGTTGTTCTGGGCCTCCATTCCCCATCTGTAAAATGGAACTAATAGTACGGCCCTACCTCACAGGGGTGTGTGAGGTTAAATACATTACAGATTGTGAGATGCTTTGATTCTATGGCAATGGGAGCCCTATTAGGTTGCATTATCTGGAAGCAGAGTAAGTGCCCAGTGGCAATGTGAAAGCGGCAGTGGCCCCTAACCCCCATGGTTCTAGCTTCTAGACTTGCAGGTTCCTACAACGTGAGTACTACTCTGTTCTTATTAAGATAGTAAATATCATAATGCCACAATATAAATCCATGGTATACCCAGTCCTTGAAAAGTGTGATGCAGTTCTTGTCGCCCCATCTTAAAAAAGGTATATTAGAATTGGGAAAGGTACAGAGAAAGGCAACAAAAATGATTAGGGGGTATGGAACAGCTTCCATATGAGGAGAGATTAAAAAGACTGGGACTGTTCTGCTTGGAAAAGAGACCGCTAAGGGGGACTATGATAGAGGTCTATTAAAATCATGACTGATGTGGAGAAAGTGACTAGGGAAGTGTTATTTACCCCTTCACATGACATAAGAACCAGGGCTTACCCAATGAAATTCATAGGCAGCAGGTTTAACACAAACAAAAGTAAGTATTTCTTCACACAGTGCAGTCAACCAGTGGAACTTGGTGCCAGGGGATGTTGTGAAGGCAAAAAGTATAATAGGATTCAAAAAAGAATTGGATCAGTTCATGGAGGATAGGTTCTTCAAGATGGGCAGGGATCAGCCCCATGCTTTTGGTATCTCTAAACCTCTGACTGCCAGAAATGGGGACTGGATGATGGGATGTGACAGGTTTTTTTGTTTGTTTTTTTTTTGCTCCAGATCCCTAAATGGCCCCCTCAAGGATTGAGCTCACAACCTTGGGTTTAGCAGGCTAATGCTCAAACCACTGAGCTATCCCTCCTGCGCTGGCTGGTAATTTATACACGTCTGTCTCCCTAGTTTTTATTGCTCAGTATCACACGTTACCAATAGAACTGAGCAAACCACATTTCCTAGACTGTTGGCTGGCACTTGTATGACAGTGAGAGTGGTCCTGAATGTGTAAGATGGCTTTCTGAATTGGCATATCTGCTTTTCTCTGCTGGGCAGGCAGAGGGGGTGCATCCATTTATGGGAAGCAGTTTGAAGATGAACTTCATCCAGAACTAAAATTTACAGGTAAGTGCCATTTGAGGGACTTATGTGGGTGTTTTGTTAACCTTGCAAGTTGGGCATAGCACCAATTTAGGGCTCAGTCCCACTGTCTTTATGCAGGAGTCATTGGAAGTCTGGGTGGAGTGAGGGCTACAGGCTTGGTAGCTCTTAACGACAAGTGAAGCATTAAAGAGACACTTGGCAGCAAATGAAAAAGTAACAACTAACTAGGGTCGCCATGTGGACAAATAAACAATAACATGGTACCCTCTCCTCCTTAAATGAATGGAAACGAGGAGCTATGACCCCTAAGCCTGCAGAGTTAATGCTACAGCTGTCCTGTTTTCAGCTAAGTAGTCTCTTCCTGAGGATAGTTAATCAGTGGTCTAACACCAGCAGAACTCCTTGTGCTAAATCACAAATCCCAAGGGCTGAATGATATGTTTGCCTCCTTAAAATTATTTCTGTGAGTTAAGGTAAAGGTCGGCTGGGTTGTTACAAACACAATGTTTGAACTCAGCCGGGAGTGCAGTGTGGCAATAGACTTCCTGTGTAATACAACTAAACTGTTCTTACATTATAATTCAGTTCATAAAGACCTCAACTGCGAGGGCTCCCGGGCCGCCTTTTGCTGTTTACACAGGAGTTACAATGCACTGGCGTCCTTATGGAAACAAATTACAGTGCGTGAGTCTCACTTAATCAGAATTACCCTAGCTGAGCACACAAAGGATGTAGAGAATAACTGTAAGAAGCTTTTTGCTATATGCTTGATCCTGGTAATTAAGCCATATGACTGGATCCTTAGTTGCTACCAGAAGTAATTGGCTTAGGAAGAGACTGATCTGTTTTTTTGGGTTTGGTTTGGTTTTAACTGAAATGGCTTCAGATCTTCAGTCTAAGGGCAGGTTACTAACTTGTACCCTTTCTTTCAAAGGTGCAGGAATCCTTGCCATGGCTAATGCCGGCCCAGACACGAATGGCAGTCAGTTCTTTATAACCTTGGCACCAACCCAGTGGCTCGATGGGAAGCACACTATCTTTGGCCGTGTTTGCCAAGGGATCGGGATGGTGAACAGAGTGGGCATGGTGGAGACAAATGCCCAAGATCGCCCAGTAGATGATGTGAAGATTCTGAAGGCTTACCCATCGGGTTAGACCAGGGTCCTCTGCTGTTAATCTGTTGGCATTGCGGTGTGTTAAATCCTGTATCCCCCATGGGATTGTCCTGTCATTCCAGGGAATGCGAGCCAGTGGTTTAGGCCCAACGTTTACCTACTTTACAATCTATTTGAGGCAGAGCTTTTGTTCTTTTTTTTTTTTAAGTAAAGTGGATTTAAAAATATCTACAATTAGTTTGCTTAGGAACTAAAGTGAACCGGGTTCTTTTCGAGAGTGCTGGCAGTGCTGTTTCTCCTGAGCTGCCTCCTGCCACGCTGGGGAAAGGGTCTCTTGTCAAAGTTTTGTGGCCTGAAATTACCCCTGCTGAACCCTGTTTTGGTTGGTATGCCCAGGGTGCAAGTACCCACCATGCCCCCCCCTATGCTCTCTGTTCTGTTCTGAGTGGTAAGGGAACTGTCTCATGCCAAGGCCACACAGAGCATCTGGCTGGCATGCCATGCATACTCACAACTGCGCTGCAATCCAGTGTGCAGGATGGCTGTTGGGTCTCAGCAGCAAAGGTTGCAGCACCCTCTCCTTTGAGGGTGAGGGAGTTGACATGTCGAGATAAGGAAGATTCTAATCAGGAGAGTCTGACAGCCTGCACCCTCATTTATTGGTAAACATTGGGCCTAGCCAATTTGACAGCATTTCCTTTAACACGCTCTCCAAACTGGGCAATCAGTGATTTTCTTATTTTTCTCAAAGGCAACCAAAAGGCCATGTTAATCTATAGGATCATTTGAACCAAGAGTACGGTGGAACATGATTAATGTCAAATTGGACTAGGAGAACAGGCAGTGGGAACTTTTTCCCCAGCTCCCAAAAACCTATTCCACCAGGTGGGGCTACCTTAAATGTCATTCATTTTTAGAATGGACTTGTAAGGAGAATCCACAGCTTCCTGGAGAAGAGCAGAATCTTCCATTGCCTCTAGGATGTGGATACTGAATCTCCCTCTCTCAGAGAACTGAGTTTCTGTGAAATCTAATTCAGCCCCCCCTTAAAGCTCCTTGTCACAGGAGACTTGTTGCAGGAAGACAGATGTATGTGTGCATGTAAAACC